CACTAATTTCTCCTGATTGCTAAAATGCACAAAATGTCTAGAATTATAATACATTTTTAGAAGTTAAATAATAAATAAGTGCATCACAGTTTTAAAACTTAAACTTTACAAAATTTGGCATGCTGAAATTACAATTTTAAAGCAGCACTGTCATAGCTGCATCAATTTTTTTTTACCCCTCTCCCGACTCCTCTACACTTTATTGTGCCCCCAAACACTTGTCTCTATGTCCCCCAGTTTACCTTTTTTTATTGCCTCATATCTTGTCTAGATCTTTTTCCTAGCGCCTCCATGTTAGTGTTCCTGGAAATGACGATTACAGGACATCAACATCAGCCCACACTAGCTCACCGCAATCTAATTCCTGAGAATGCCCACTTCACACCACAGAGAAACGCCAGCTTGGAAAGATGAGTATTTAGTAGACACAGGAAGTGGGATGTAGTACACGCTGACTACAGACATATTTTTATGCACAGAATTGACATTAAGCAGTTTTGGAATAGTGTTCTGGGCTGCCTAAATCACATATGCTGGGGGTGCAACTTTCAAACTGAAACACTGCAAATCCAGACTCCCACCACCATGACCACTTCATAAAACAGAAGTCACCATGGTGATCGTGGTTGGTGTAATCCTTCAAGTAACTTTATAGGGCACTTATCGTGAGCACTGTGGCCCCAGATGAGAGAGGAGACCCTCAGGTACCGGATAATATGGGGACAGACTCAGAATTACAGCAGCTGAGCACGATAGCTAAGCCGCAGTATTTAAATGGATTACAATGGCCATGTGCAGTGCTGAAAAATTGTGACCACAGCTGACAGAGGAGACCCTCAGGTCTGACAGGTATTTAACGCTGTTGGTACTTTTAATGCATGATGGTCTATGCCAGTGATGGCGAACCTATGGCACGCGTGCCAGAGGTGGCACGCTGGGCCCTCTCTGTGGGCACGTGGCCGTAGGTTCGGCATCACTGCAGAGTAGGCACCTGCCTGCCCAAAACGGCAGGCGCCTACTCTGCTTCCTTGTCGGCAGGACCGGAAGCAGGGAGGAGGCATCTAGGAAACAGCTCTCCTGTCCTCCTGTGAGCTGTGTGAAGCGTTGCCGCGCGTTACTATGGCAACCCTCCACACAGCATCGCGCGGGAGGACAGGAGACCTACATACTTACCACCACCGGACCACCAGGGATGGCTGTGTCCCCCCTCCCCTTCACCAAAGGTAAGATGAAAGGGGGGGAGGAAATACTGATTCAGTATGCTTTTTTATAAAACGTTTCTACTGTATCTTAACCCCCAACAGAGCACCCTCTCACCCCCAACAGAGTACCCCCAACCCCCAACAGAGCACCCCTGAATTCCAACAGAGCAACCCCTACCCCAACAGGACACCACTACCCCCCAACAGAACACCCCTACCCCCACACAGCACCCCTACCCCCACACACAGTACCCCCTACCCCACACACCGTGCACCCCTAACCCCCACCACCGCTACCCCCTCTCACACACAGCACCCCTTACACACAAACACATACACTGCACCCCTCAATGCAGTATATCTGTGTGTATTAAGCAGTGTGTGTGTGTATTTAGCTGACTGCGTGTGTATGTATTCAGCAGTGTGTGTGTATTCAGCGGACTGTGTGTATGTTTGTGTGTGTGTTTGTATTTAACGGACTGTGTGTGTATTTAGCAGTCTGTGTGTCTGTATTAAGCAGTCGGTGTGTGAATGTGTTCAGCTGTATGTATGCATTGCATTTGTTGGAGATACTAATAAATATATGCTTAAATTTATCTATTAATATCATTATTTAAAATTTGTATAATTGAACTCTGTTGTGTCTTTTAAAACAAAAGATGTTAACTAGTTCGGACAACTATACGAGTTGTTTTTTCTGAACTTAAATCTCAGTATTCAGGTTTAATTGCCGTGTTGGCACTTTGAGGAAAGAAACGTTGACATGTATTGCGGTTTGGGCACTCGGGCTCAAAAAGGTTCGCCAACACTGGTCTATGCCATTGCAGCGTTAAAGTTCTGCATTGCATGATGACATAGATTGCTGTGTGTTCGATAAGGTGTTTAGGGATCAGTTAGATCATACATGCTATTGAAGTTATTTTTAATAGACAGGGTTTTCCAGGTTATAAGGATTCAAACACTTGCCTGACGCATTCCGCTGCACAGTTTTGCAACTATGTTTTTAATAAACTGACATTTTACACATAGAGGTCACTACACAAACACTTATATATTAGATCCTTTTTCTTCTGTGTACATAAAACTGAGAAGTTTTTTTATTTTTTTAAATAGCAAAGCTGAAGTTCATCATCATTATCATGGAAGAGAAATTTGCTGAATGTCCGGAATCAACCACATAAGAACAGGCAAAAGATTTCCTCTTGCTGCTTTAAATTACAACTTTTAAATCAAAATGTGTAGATATTAGGTATTGTTGAAAACCACAGATTTCCATAAAGGTTAACCACATCAACCACACCCCAGAAAACAATCAAACATGATAAAAGACCTGCTTACATATAACTGAACTGTAGACATTACAAACACAACTTTAGCAGTATTTTTTCACCGCAGTGGAAATCCTGTGTAGTCAAAATTAATATCCAGCACTTTAAATCAAGTTGTTTTGTGTGATTTTAAAGTTGTGTTCCTATTCTGCAACTGACTATAATAGTAGCTTTGAAAGTTTTGGCAGAAATTAGCTAAATCCCTTTCCCAACCATATTCCTGTGTGTTCATGTGTGTTTTATGGCCAATTCTCTGCTTGTTATGTATCTCTTCATTGCATTTCTGTTATTTGAGCACTGGGATGGAAATATAGTATTGAAAATTACCAGGTAAAATATCACAGGTCCACCACTTAACCACAGTTAACTAAAGATAATAGTAATAATAATTTCACTGAAACTTTACCAATGGCTATGTCTTCATTACTATCGTTCTACAGTATGTGACATAAAAATAGTTTTCTAGAGCACATTTAGAATGCAAAAAGACATATATTTATAATAAAAACTAGGGCCAGATTAACCCCTTAAAACCAGAGGGCGTACTATTACACCCTATTCTAAGTGGCTCTAAACGCCGCAGGGCATAATTGTACGCCCTTGCGGTTTTTGTTACTTACCTGGTCGCCGGCGATCCCATGCCGGCGATCGCGGTCGGGGGACTCACCTGGGATCCTAGGGAGTCCCCTGCGACGGATCCTGCCTCCTCCGCCCCCTCCCCCCCCCACGGCCATGTGAGAGTGAGATCCTTGCGAGGACCTCACAATCACATGGCCGGGTTAGCTGGCTGCTGCCTTGCCAGCAGGGGGACTGCTTGTAATGACAGTTAGTCCCCCTGCTGGCTGGAAATCAAATAAAATAAAGTTAAAATCGGTGTAAAAATGTTTTATATACTTAGATCATATATATTATATATATATGATCTAAGTATATACAGTTGCAAGAAAAAGTATGTGAACCCTTTGGAATGATATGGATTTCTGCACAAATTGGTCATAAAATGTGATCTGATCATCATCTAAGTCACAACAATAGACAATCACAGTCTGCTTAAACTAATAACACACAAAGAATGAAATGTTGCCATGTTTTTATTGAACATAACATGTAAACATTCACAGTGCAGGTGGAAAAAGTAAAAAGTAAAAGTACAGGGGTATGCAGACAACTGATGTCTGCATACCCCTCGGCCTTCGCCAGCCCTTAGGTATGCCCCTGCGCCTAAGCACTAAAACACACTGTAATGTGGAGTGTGTATGAGTGTATCACAGAGCTCCACCTCACTCAACTCACATTAATGTACAGTTTGTATGATTTTTTTAACAGAAGGAATTTGAAGGCATTTTTATATTGTACATTTAATTTTGGCTTTTGCTAATGCACACATAAAATAAACAGGTAAATACAAAAGGTATGGTTTGTTGGAGGTTTCACAGAAGTATAAATGGAGAATTTTTGTATCTGTCTCATTCAGGACAACTTAACGCATCCTTAATTTTAAAGGTCACACAAACAAGACTTTGTTGGTATATATCCGTGGTTAGCACCTGAAACGTTGATATTTAACTTTATAATTTATGTGTAAACATTTTGCAGTGTTTCTAAAAGGCAAATGTCTAAAAGCTGAATAAACTTATTATAAATGTATATCTTTTTTAATGATGCATGTTTTTTCTATTTCACTTAAGCTTGGGCATTTCTCAATCTTGCATACTTTCTATGGTATAAAATTAAATTTACTGCCGTTGAGGAATAGACACTAATTGCTTACAGAGGGTTTTTAATCTGCATTCAATTTAATGTTAGGATGTATTTTTTTTTAGCTTAAATTGAAAAAAAAAAGCATCAGTACTGCACATAAATTATCCCAGGTCCATTTAAGTTCCTTTTTTATTTTGGAGATGTCAGGAAGGTTGAAGATGAAAGCTGTAGATGTTGAACTCTAAGGAGGAGAAACAATCACAATAAAGAGAAAATTCAAGGGCGTAGTCTAGAATCATTCAGAGGTCAAATATCCGGACAGCAAGGTTCATATACGGGCAGGATAAGCAACAGTCTAAGTACAGGTTAGAAAACAGATCCAAAGCGCATTACACAGAAGCAAATCTACAAGATATAGGACAAAGCCAAGGGTCAAATTGTCAAAGGGTTACTGCAAGCATCATAACCACTACAGCCTGCTGTAGTGATTGTGGTTGCCTGGTAAAGGGGCAAACCTTTTTGAAATGGTTACCTGGGTCTTCATCGGGTGGTGACGGTTCTCTGTGGCTGGTGAAATGTGTCTGGCTTCTGCAGAGATGCAGGATTGAGTCACACACCCCTGTTGTGACCAGGACCCCATCACTTGCCCTGCTTGCTAATCCCATGAAAGCCTGCCACCTAAGAAGGAGAAAGGGATCACAACAAGGGAAAGCACCGTGGAAGGCATCTATCACTGTCAGCCTGAAAAGGAGTTGAAGCTTCACGGGTGCCATGCCTCCTTGGTTGGAAAACAGTGAGGGAGCCAGCAACAGGTAGGTGCTAGCAGGGGCGGGATGGGATGGGGGGGCACGGAGGGGTGGAACATATAAGTGGACTTATAAGTGGGCCTTATGGGCATATTCACCGTCAGGCCCTGGGGCCCAGACCTTGAGCTGTGTAGGGGGCCCCAGAAAAATGGAGCTGCTTCCCATTCTCCCAGAACATTGAATTGTGTGACCACAGTTGCAAACAGCCTCCAGAGATCCTGTTCTACACCAGACCAGTGGAACCAAACTGCAGCCCATCATCATCCTCATCTGGTTGTAAGTAGGCAATCTAGTATATTATTAGTGACACTAATCTATAATTTACCTCGCATTAAAGGGACACTATAGTCCCCAGAACCACTTCAGCTTAATGAAGTGGTGCTGGTGTCTGTAGCCGGTCCCTGCAGGCTTTTTAATGTAAACACACACTGTGTGCAGCACTGGCGTTAGTTCATATGGCAGATCATACGGGTGGCGCATTGTGATGTCACATGGGGGGCAGCAAATTTTTCTTTTGCCTAGGCCGGCAAAAGTCCTTGCACCGGCTCTGATCCTGGGCAGGTGCACCAGTTTACTGGTGACCCACAGGAGGGGAGTGCACTGATTGCACAGCACTCTCCTCCTGCCCAGACTCGTCTTTACCTCAGTGCAAGTGCCCTTTGTCCCTAATTTACAGTGGCTCACACTCACAGCAAGCAGTGCCTGGAGCCCTTTGCAGAGACGAGAACAAAGAGGAGGCTCAGAGGTAGGAAGCAGGACCAGGACTGTGAAGTTCCTCGGTTCAAATCCTCTGTTGGGCACTCCTGGGACAACCACGTCTGTATGTCATAGTGAGAACCATGACAGTATGAAGTAGTGGCCTTTGGATTTAGCTGCAATTAGGTTGTTAGTGACTTTGATAAGAGCAGTCTCAGTAGAGTGGAGAGGGCAGAAGCCAGACCGAAGAGGGTCAAGGAGAGAGTTGGAATTGAGGAAGTCAGCCAGGCGGGTAAAGAAGCTTTGAGGAAAATGGGAGCAAGGATATAAGGGGAGGACGGGTCAAGAGATCATTTTTTCAGGATGGGTACTAAAGTGGCATGATTAGGGGCAACAGGGATAACGATAGAAGAGAGAGAGCAGTTGAAAATGTGTGTTAAGGAAGGCCCAAGACAAGGGGAGAGATATCTGATAAGGTGAGATGGGACAAGTGGTGGGGCGAGAGGAAAGGAGACTTGCAGCCACCTCTTGTTCAGTAGCTGGGGAGAAAGTCTGAAGGGTAGAAAAGGCATGATCTACATGTGGTTGATAAACAGAGGGGCAATATGGGGAAAATTATTTCCTTAGTTGTTCAATCTTGTTTGTAAAGTAAATAAAATACAGTAGTGAAAATTCTCAAACACAAATAATAGTGCTACAATCACCTAGGTGGGCCACAATCACCACCCAAAAATACAGCAACAAACAAATAAACATGTTATGGTGAGAGCACACAAATAAATAAAATTAAAGTTTTTTTAAGTAAAATACACTGTCCATTTTTTAAAACTATATATATATATAAAAGTATATCTTTTAAGTTGTTTTATTTAAGTGCTCATTTTCTGTATCAAATATTTTATAAGATAAAAGAAATGGTATTAAGTATGTTCTTTTCTCTATTTTAGATAACTATACTTAATATAATATCTCCATTATTAATGTTTTAGTTGATAATTTTTTAATTTTGAAGCTTTGTTGTTTTTATACCTATGTATTTATTGAAATAATATAGGGTAAGATGGATAAAATATCACTCATGGTATTTTTTTTATATATTGTATAATTTATAATACAACAATGTAATTAGATTTTAAGTATTATGTAATTTTGTGTAGAGTATTGCATCCTCTTTTTCGCTTTATTTTGCCAATGAAGTAATAGTTTCGTAAGAAGGTGACGTTGGACGTTTCAAACACCGGAATGTATACCGGAAACAAAGTGACCGGGACCGGAAGTGGCGTCAGAGCGTGAGGACGCAGATGATGCTTGGGCGCAGAACCCGGAAGTAAAGTGCCGGAACCACAGCGAAAAAGGCGCCTAAAAGAAGAATTTAAAAAGCCACGAACATACACATCACCTCTGACGAAGGCTTAAAGCCGAAACGCGTCAGGTGTTGTGGATTCCTGTTTTTATTGGACTTTCTTTCAGTATTACTGAATTTTAATTTGTTTTCTGTTTTTCTGGAATAATAAATCTTTGTAACCCCCTGAATCAGCGTCCTGGAGGTACTTCAAACAGAATACGGAGAAGGGTCCATTGGAATTCTGAATTGTTCAAGGCATGCAGTCTGAGCCAGCTTTTTAAGTGGCTCTCTATATGTGAGTGGGACCAATATGTATATTTGATACACAGTTTTAAACTCTATTACCCTATGTCTTTTTCCCTTGTTTTGTTTCAGGGAATAATTTGAACATTAATTGTGGGTAGTATTAATTTTATTTATTTGTGTGCTCTCACCATAACGTATTTATTTGTTTGTTTGTAAAGTAGCATGCAAAGCTATCAGCTGTAAGATTAGTTTGGGGGTGGCCACAGCAGGGCGAAGAAGAGAGTTAAAGGTATCAAAAAGACGCCTGGGATTGCTGGAACATGAACTAATGAGAGGAGAAAAGTATGACTGTTTGGTGAGGGCAAGGGCTGTGCTGTATGAATGCAATATTAATCTATAATGGAGAAAGTCTGACTGGGTGCAAGACTTCCTCCAGCAGCGTTCGGCACAACGCATCTTTGCAGGTAACATGTTGATTTAGTGTGGGTGTGTACTCTTCGAGGTGCATGTTTGGAGTGTGGCTGCAGCGTTTAGGGCAGAGGTGAGAATAGTGTTATATGTGGAGATGGCCAGTGAGGGACAGGAGAGGGTAGGGATGGATAGGAGTTGGGAATCACTATCTGCTGACAGCTGCAAGAGGTCAATAGAATTAAGGTTCCTCCTGAGTTGAGGGGGTTAGGCTGAGGTTGTTGGGTGAGGGGGTTTTCGAGAGCAAATGATAAGAGGTGCTGATCAGTGAGAGAAAATGGAGTGTTGCAGGTATTAGACATTGTACATGCATAACAGAAGATAGGGTTGAGGGTATTGCCAGCTACATGGGTGGGAGAATAAGCCCATTGCGATAGCCCAAGGGACAAAGTAATTGAAAGTAGTTTTGAGGCTAAGGGTGGGTTAATGGGAATGTTGAAGTCCCCGAGAATTAAGGATGGAGGAGAGGAAGTAGGATAGCCACGCAGCAAAGTGGTCAAGGAAGAGGATAGGAGGATCAGGGGGGAAGGTGGGATAAATAACAGCAATGTTAGCAGAGATGGGTTTGAAAAGGCAAATCAAATTAATTTCAAATGATGAGAGAGAGGGAAGGGGCGGTGGGTAGAGGTTTGAAGGAGGAGTGAGGCGAGAGTAGAAACCCTACACCACCACCTTTACTGTCAGAGTGACTTGGGTTGTGGATAAGGATAAAGATGCAGGAATAGCAGTGTCAGAGAGGGAGAGCTATGTTTTTGTTAAGGCTTGAAAGTTTAGGGAACGAAAGTTGAAAAGGTTGTGGACAGCAGTGCATTTAGTAATGTTGTAAACAGAGTGTGCATTCCAGAGGGCAGTGTGGAAGGAGGAGTAACATGAGATAGAAATAAGATTGGTGTGGTTCCTTGAGTTAGTTCATGATGAGTTTGCTGAGGTGGGACCGGGGTTTGGAGAGACATCACCAGCTGCTAGGAGCAGAAGGATAGAATGGAAGAGAAGGTAAGAGTAGGATTTGAAAGTTTTGTGAGAGGTTTGTATTTAGAGGATTTAGAAAAAGTAGGTGGAGATAGGCTAGAAAGGTGTAAGTAGAGTGCATGGGATGAATAGAGAGGGGAGGGAAGTAAAGTGGAATAAATGAAGATGGTCTCAGCAGGGACAGGCAAGCAGAAGGATAGAGAGATTTTAGTGATGAGAGAAGTTAGAGTGAAAGTGAAAAATAGAAGGGAGAACATTATTATAGAAAATGTGTTTTGCTTTAGAGATATGACTATTATATACACACACACACATATATATATATATACACATACATATTTAAACATACACATACATACACACATACCTACGAGGGTGTAAACCATGGTTAAGGATGCAGGTTGTTAAAAGAGGGATTTCAGGTGAGGAGAGGTTTAGGGACTTGATTGGTGTGTTTTGAAAACCAGCTGATCTGCACTATCTATAAGTATGGTAATTGACTTTTATATATAACATTTTATGAGGGTTCAAAGGAGACAGCATACATCATTGCAGCCAGAGGACACCCATGCATAGTAATATTTTATTCCTGACCCTAAAATGCGTGGTTGTGGATTTTATATAAAATCCAGATTTCATTCAAAAATTGATCCCCTTGGCAAAATTTCCTCAGAGTTTCTTCTAAAACACCTTGGTGACCCTGTCAACAGCCTTTTCAATATCTAATGACAAAGTGAGCAGCATTCTATTCTTGATGTATGCAGAGAACATTACATCCAAGTTTTTTTTCTGATATAGTTGTCAGCTTTTCTTCCTGGCACAAATCCTGATCGAACTGTTGAATAAATCTTTGTATCAACATTTATGAGTGAAATTCATCTAAAAATGTTTATCAAAGTTTTATCTTTACCAGGCTTCAGGATCAGGGATATGATTGCCAACAACATATCACCTGCCTTTTTTTTATTTTCTCCAATTTCCCTAAATACCTCATACAAATAATACACTAAATCTTTTTTAAAAATATTTTATAAAAATAATTAGAGAATTTATAAAAAATAATTAGAGAATCCATCAGGACTGGTTTCCTTGTAGAGATAATGGTGCATTCAACATTTTAAAATATTCTTCTGAAATTTTAGGTTGATTAACTGTTCTAGATATTTATTTTATTTATTTCTAATTTGATTTAAATTAAGATCTTTTTCTATATGATAGAATCTTTTTAAACTTTGCAAAGGAGTATCCTATTTTATTTAGCTCAAGAATGAGTTCACTTGTATCCACAATTTATCCACAATCATATTTATAATTATTTGAGATGTACATTTTTTTTTAACATAATTTTATTTGCCTTATTTCCTTGGCTATTCCATTTTTTGTTTTATTTTAAACTATTTCTTCAAAAACTATAATGGACTGACCTTTTTTTATTTATTTCATCTGAGCTAATTTAACACATATCTGTTGATAAGATATATCTTTCTATTTTTTTCATATGAACCAGTTTTGATAAAATTACCTCTTATGACGACCTTAAAGGCACACCATAAGGTTCTGTTAGAAATTTGCAGTGAATAATTTTCTTAAAAACAGCTTTTTATTTATTTTTGTAAACGTTCTCTAATATGTTTTTGCTTCATAGGCAATTAATCTAGTCTTTATTCCTGTTTGATTTCATCCTTGTTCATTTTGATTTAAAAAGAAACTGAGGCATGGTCTGACCAAGTATGGATTGAGATTTCACTTTTTAGGTCCTCATAAAAAAAGATAATTTTTAGCTAAAAATAAGTCTATGCGAGAGTAGGAATGAAACGGGATGGAATAATATGTATAATCCTTTGTCTTTGGATCTAAAGTTCTCCAGATATCAAGGAGATCATGATTCTTTAAAAAAAAAAAAAAAAAAAACTTTATTGCATCTGTCATTAATTTTTTTGTTTAACTTTTTCCCTTCTTGCAATTTTGTATCCAAATTTGTATCATTAAAATTTAAAATCCAACGCTATTGTTAATTTTTTATGTTAGTTAATTCATTAGTTAATTTTTTTCATTGTGTTTACATTTGGTGCATAAACATTTAATATTGTGAATAGTGAATTACCAATTTTACTAATAAAAATGATGAATCTTCCCTCTTTATCTATGAATTATGTCTAGTGAGATTGATTATCTTATTAGAATCAAAGTGCCTCTACTTTTTTGGTGAGGATATCTTTTATCATAATTATTTTTTTTTAGATCCAGTGCCTTTTTTTTCTCGGTTTAACGTGTCCATCAACTTTTGCCTTTTTAACATTGCATTTATTGAACAAAACTTAATCATAACTACTAAAAAGTAACGTATGTAAATTCCACAGGGCACAGTGGGAGACAGTAGGCAGGAACTTTATTCTTCGCCCTCCTCTCGCACGCAAATCCATCCATTCAACTCATTCATACAGGAACAAAATGAGAAGTTTTCTTGTTAATACTAAACTGGAAAAAAGAAAGTTACAATAAGAAGCTAGAAAATTTGTAGCAAGTGAGGGTACTAAAACAAATTAATCAGTTGAAATATATAATTAAAAACTTAGTGGCGAGAGGACCTATAATTAAGTATTTTCTCTGGACTTTGTAATATTTTTTCATTGTCCTATTTTTCTTACCTGTTTTATTTTTGTTTTCTTCTCCCTTTCTCTTCATTTTTTTCTTTTCTTCTTCCTTTTCTTTTTTTTCCCTCTTATCTTTCTTCCTGACTTTGTATCTAGGAGTTGCATTTCATATTCCATTTTTTTTTTTAACAATTGGAGGCTTTGATCTTTTGATGAGTAAATTAATATTTCATCATTACATGTCAATAACACTTTAGCTGGGTATTTCCATGTGAATCTTAGGTTTTCTTTTAATAGGTTATTGATGAATGGTCTCAGTTTTCCCCTCTGCTGGCATGTATAATTTGAGAGATCACTCATAACCCTTATATCTTTGAATCTTTAATTTCTTATCTCAATTATATTTCCTGATTTCCATATTTTATCCTTATAAAGGTAGTTATGGAAAGATACAATAAGATCTCTTGGAGAATTGGTAGGTGCCTGAGTAGGTTTGAAAAGCCTAAGGGCTCTGACTAGAATGACTTGTTTCTCACTGAGGTCACCTGCTATTTCTTTAAAGTATCCCTTTAATTATTGAAGTGCATACATCAGTTAACATGAACAGTTGTCAGTACGAGGCATCAATATTACATGGTTATAACACAAAGGGGACATTACGTTATGCCAGATTATCTACACTCATTTTTAATATGTCAGGCTGTCATTACCCTAAGCAAGTCGGAGGAGGACAGAAGAGATTTAGTGGGTTAGGTGTGTTAGTGGTACTCAGTTAAGCCTAGAGTGGATAGAAATGCGAGAAGTTGTGCTTCAGGGGTGAGCAGGTGGCTGTGGCATATTGATGTGGAATCATACATGCTCATAGTTATTTTAATTTTGCTAGAACTGATAGCCACTATGTGAAAATATAAGTAAATACCACATTTTAATGTTTCTAATTTTTCAGAACTTTCTTGGACTTTTCGGTTCAAAGTCATAATTTTATCCTTTACTTCTTTTATATGGGGTTGTCATTAAATTTTTTTTAGCAAATCTTTGTGATCTTCATGTAGCTTAGTCAATAAATCTTTAGTATTTCAAGTTTGTATATTTAGTGGGGATGTTTCTTCTAAACATACCTTTGCTTGCTGCATATGATCTGTCTCATCTTTAGATTGATATTTGTCTTTTAAATCTTTTTTTAAATTTGCTTTGGTGGAGAACTAAGTCTCAAGAAAGATCGTAAGAAAGCAAGTATTTATTTGGTACTTGATCTTTGTCTTCTTTTTTTGAGTCATTTTCCTTTTTTGCTTACATAACCTTTATGTATTTAATGGATTTGATCTTTGTAACGTTTTTCTTTACATTTACATGCTCTTGTGCGTAAAGTTTTTTTTAATGTTTTTATTTTTTAAACTTGATTTAAAAAATTTAGTGCTATACACTATACAAAAGTAATGTCTTGTTTTTTTTTTCCTTTTAAACTTACTTCATTTTTATAAAATTGTTCTTTGTGAGGTTTACCTCTTTACACTTTGAGTAAAGCTCACTCGAGTGAAGAATTCCCTTTTTAATATTTCCTTTAAAAAAATATATTTTAAAACATGAGTTGATAGATTATATTTGCAAACACACAGTCCTTCAGATTTAATAATGTCCTGGTATTTACAAAATGCTTTAATAGATCTTTTATACTCATCAATACACAGTCCTCCTTAGATTTGATAAATTCCGAATATTTACAGATTTCATTATTTAAATTTTTACTTCAGATTAGTGATACTGTCACGTATTCCGCACATAAAAATGTGATTAATGGCATTTACTGTTCTGACAGGAAAAGTTGTGCCAAGCAAAATAACTGTCCTGACAGAAAAAGTTTTGCCGAGCAGCAATCAATCCACAGGAGGGTTTCTGCTGAGCAGCAATCATGCAAATAGGAACCTGGTAACTGCCTTTGGGGTCAAAGGCCGGTTACAACCAATCGGATCCACAGGCGGGGTATTTAGGCCTAGTTCTCCTCTTGCTCAGTGCCCTGTTGTGGTTTCCCTTGTGGTTGTCCGAGAGTGCGTTATTGATTCTGGTTATTCTGGTATTTTGACTTTGGCATTGATTTTGACTTCCCTGTTTTCTGGCATTCCTGACCCCTGGCTTTTCCTTATAGTTGTGTCTCTTTCTGTGTCCCTTGACCTCAGCTATTCCTTACTATTCTTTGGTACTTTAGTCCGGCCATTCTAAGGTCCGGTAAATGTTGCCTATTGGTCCTCTGTGTTACACAATTCTATGTGCTGGATCATACTGTAATCCTGACAGATACTACCTCTGTTTTTGATACTAAAATTCATGCTTTCTATTTGTGGATATATAGTCTGCCCTGATTTCATTATTTCAATTGATCTTTTAAATTTATGAATACACAGTGCCCCTTAGCTTTTTAAAGAAAAAAGAAAAGAAAATAGCTCCAAAATGTATAGGCTTCAATGCTTCCTTTTATTCTTTCTGCGTATGAGTGCAAAATCCACCTAAATTGGTAGTTAATACTCAATAGTAAGCAGTCAGCTTCAGATTAAACTATATTACTTTAAAAAGCCATACACACTTGCTCCACTCCTTCCCAAGATTGGATAAATTACCTTTATAATACATGTGGTGTTAAGCCTTTAAGCTAGAAGTATTTACATATATTTACATTATTGGCAAAAGAGTATAATAATCAGCACTCATGGACTTTCCCCATTCCTCCAGACAGACTCTCTTCTTTAATTTGCTTTAAGTTTTGCTTCGAGCCTCAGCTCTTTCCCCTTTTCTTCACTTGGCCCTGTTGTGTTTGCCTTTCCATAAAAGAAAAAAATGAATTCTCCTCTCGACTGTTCACCATGCTTCACTGCCAAATGCAACTTTGTCGGTAATTCTCCTTATCTTCCAAGGATATTAAGTCTAGGCTCGAAACACCATCCTCCATTTTTTGCATGTACTCAGAGTTCATCTGCCTTGCCACTCTTCGTCCCAAGCCCACTCTTCATAACGTGCGTCGTATGTCATCACCCCGGTGATTTATATTTAATAAGTGACATTACCTTATTTCCTTCCTTCCTCTAGCTAGCCAAATCATGCACCATGTAAACATAATGAAATTGGTAAAGGTATTGTTTAAAGGAATACAATGGGGAAGGGATGTAAGCCCCACAATGGAATTGTCTGATGTCTGTTATCAGATTACATATATATTTTTTAGAAAGGCCTGGATGTGTTTTTGGAAACACAGAATATTCAAGGATTTAATTAAAGGACCACTATAGTGCCAGGAAAACATACTAGTTTTCCTGGCACTATAGTGCCCTGAGGGTGCCCCCACCCTCAGGGACCCCCTCCCGCCCGGCTCTGGAAGGGGGAAAGGAGTAAAAACTTACCTTTTTCCAGTGCTGGGCGGAGAGCTCTCCTCCTTCTCTCCTCCTCCTGGGCTGAATGCGCACGCGCGGCAAGAACTGCGCGCGCATTCAGCCCGTCGCATAGGAAAGCATTTACAATGCTTTCCTATGGACGCTTGCGTGCTCTCACTGTGAAAATCACAGTGAGAAGCACGCAAGCGCCTCTAGTGGCTGTCAATGAGACAGCCACTAGAGGATTAGGGGGAAGGCTTAACCCATTCATAAACATAGCAGTTTCTCTGAAACTGCTATGTTTATAAAAAATGGGTTAACCTCGAAAGACCCAGTACTCAGCTCCCGGCGTCTCCTCCTCTGGGCTGCTAGCACTGCGCACGCTGCTGCCAGCTGCGGCGCATTCGGCATTCGCGCAGAAGGGAAAGCATTTACAATGCTTTCCTATGGAACTTCGTGCTCACTGTGAAAATCACAGTGAGAAGCATGCAAGCGCCTCTAGTGGCTGTCAATGAGACAGCCACTAGAGGATTAGGGGGAAGGCTTAACCCATTCATAAACATAGCAGTTTCTACGAAACTGCTATGTTTATAAAAAAATGGGTTAACCCTAGAAGGACCTGGCACCCAGACAACTTCATTAAGCTGAAGTGGTCTGGGTGCCTAGAGTGGTCCTTTAACATGTAAGTGAATAGGTTGTTGATCCAATGAGAAGCTTGATTACATAACTAAGAAGGTATTCCCTAAGTTTTTGTGGCATAATTATCTAAATCTTCATATTATTTTGTTATTTTGCCTTCTTTTGTATCAACAGCAAAAAAAGATGTATTGTAAAGGTTGAACTCAACAGACTTGAGTCTTTGTTTAACCTAGATTACTGTTTAACTATGTTACATACTTAAATAAGACAAGAAACAAGTAATAGTTAATAAGACATCAGCGACAGTTAATTTATTGAGATAGTTTCATTTTAAACATTTATTCATGCAGTAGTTGGCTTCTATATAAAGATCCTCAAATTCTGCAATTCTAATGTTAAGTGATTATTTTAACAAGTTAAGTACAAGTTTTTTTATCCAGCTATAATAATCTTATTTTAAAAGGGAAGTATATTATAAATGTGGCCCTGTGGCCTGTATTCTCGTTGAAATTATGGACATTTATCATTACTTTATCTTGACATTTAAGGACAAAATTGTTAGTATACTTTTAGAGTTATTTACTAATGTGAGAGTTCTTGGAAATTCAAAGTGAATAGCACATTTGAGACCAAAATAGCTGAACTGGAAACATTCTCCAATAGATGAGCATTGTTTTAGATTACGGTTCTCAAACTGGAATTCTGTAATCCTGGTGTGACCTTTAGGATTACCTCTACCTAAGCATGCCTCAAACTCTTATAGACTACATCGCATGACCTCATTCTTTTAACATGTTATGGGATCCAACAAGTGATCTATCAAGTTATATGGCTACATGGTCAATAATACATTTTTTAAACTAAAGTAATTAAATTGTTAATTCAACTGATCCAAGTAATTAAAAAGAAAAAATAAGTCTAAAACAAAGTTACGCACTGAAAAACAATGACAACATGCGAACATGTAGTTTCTAGACAACACTCTTTGGACAGATACAGTGGCTCTAAGAGGACTTGGCAACCAGTGCAGCAACAGCTATATTATGGCCACCTGAATGAGGTTTTTGTTTGGAAACTGCAATAGTTATGGTGTCTATACAAATCTGGCAAATGATTATACATATAGGAAGGAGAAGGCACATGTAAAAAGGAAACACCATCAGGTTCCACCTTACCCGGGGCGGCCACACTCCATACAACGTACTGGTTTACTAGTGACACAGAATCAAATTTTGGATTTGGTTATACCTGCAAGTGAACAAATGGTGGCTACATATAGCCACCATGCTTGCACTGGTAGGGACAATACGAATGCAAAGATTTATTTTCTATGCACTTCATGCCTGCTATGGAGATTCTATACTATAAATAAGAGGATAAAGAGAGTTGTTAAACACAGTTATTAACCGCAGTATTGCATAATTACTCTCAGTAGTGGGTTTCTTTTCCTATCAGGAACATTTGGATTATAAAGTTTTCTGACTGCTACACAAACTGTTAGATATGCATTACAGAGGTAAATAGAGTGACGCATGACATGACAGGAACTGACAGGGTTATTTAATAAAATAAGAATTCACTTTTCACAATTCTCCCGACGCCAACAGACCCCTTCACTGCCCCTGTCATTGGATGCAAAGAAGGCCTTTGACAGGGTCAGCTGGGAATTTCTGGAAAATACTTTAAAACTATTCGGTTTTACGGGTACAATTTTAAATGGTATGTAACAGAGTATAATAGTTACCACAGGTGCATGTCTACAATGCTGTGGCATTTTAAATGGCATTGTATTCTAACCCTTCAGGTAAAATAATGAGTCTTGGCCTTTCCTCAAATTGGTTCAGTCTGGCAAATGGTACAAGACAAGGCTGCCCACTATCACACCGCTGCTTTACGTCTTGACCATTAAACTATTAGCGATAAATATAAGAAACAACAATAAAATAAAAGGGTTTAGAGAGAATGAAGCGATTAAAATCAAATTATATGCAGACGATATACTCATTGCAATAGCAGACACAGTGAATTCAATTGACGAACTAATGAAGGTCATTGAGAAATATAGTCAATTCTCGAACTATAAGTTGAACTCTTTTAAATCAATCGCTATGCCACATTTTATGGATTATCAGATGAAAGCACATATTACAGCGAAGTTCAAGGACCTCCAGCGTCAGATAACCGACCAAAGGTTGGTTTGGATTCCGGAAGCGCCCCCAGTGACTGTCTAGCAGACAGCCACTAGGGGCAGACTTAGAGCTGCAATGTAAACATTGCAGTTCTCTGGAACTGCAGTGTTTTACATTGCAGCACTAAGTGCAAATGGGTCATAGCACCCAGACCACTTTAATTAGCTGAAGTGGTCTGGGTGCCTACAGTGTCCTTTTAAATTTAAAATTCTCTTTGAGTCTAACATGATTCCTCACGTCAGTCAATAACTCTGCAAAAATATGTTGTTTTGTTAAAAGACAATATAATCTCAGGTTGGAAATTTAAGGGTACTTTTAAACCTTTACTTTTTAACACAATGGTTGTAGATGCAAGGGACAGTCTTTTGGCAGAGGTGTTAGAGACACTAATACAGTGAACAAATCCAAAAACTTGGGATAAACACAAGGAAGCATCAGGATTATAGTCTGTATTTCTTTAGTTTGTGCTTGTATATAAGAAATGGGTAGGCTTGATAGGTTTGTAGGCATTTATAGCCCACCAAAATCCATTTCCCAAAAGAGTCCTGAATTTGGGCATATGTCTTGCTGCCCTGGTTTCCTTGTGTGCTATATCTGAAGACACCATGTTAATGCCCAAGCAAAAGCAGAGTGTGACATTAGACCAACTGGGTCTGGGCAGAGACATTTTCAGGAACTGAGTACAAATGAGACAACTAAAAAATGCTTTAGGAATCCGCAGTCCTGACTGGGCTAGCCAGAGTGACTTTTCAATTTTTCAGAAAAGATCCTCCACACACAGCACAATAAATAAACTGGTAGTTTGTTCAGCCTTCAAAGTGGAAAGGCAACAGTTAACACATGAAGTATCTTTCTCAAGATGACTTGAGAGGGGTGACTAAACAACTTAACATATAGAAATGTTGCCCTTTCCTGAAAGGGACTACCACTTACTACTGGCCCCTTGTGGCCACCCCCTTTCCGTCCATCCAATGCTGGGAGGTGTGTATTCTATATTGCTTCATGAATTATGTAATTTACAGAGAGTATTGTTGGTGTAAAACAAAACTCACTTTAATAGCAATAGAATTTAATTCTACTATTCACTTAATCCAAATAGTACTAACATAAAACAAGAGTGTGTAGCTATGGCCTCCAGCTGTACATAACAGCTCATAATATTTGACAGCCACTGTCTAACATTCAGTGAAACTACAGTCATGCAGCAGCTGGGGCCAAGGCTGGTCAATTTTGGATTAAAAATAAAAATACTTGCATACTTAACATATAGAAATGTTGCCCTTTCCTGAAAGGGACTACCACTTACTACTGGCCCCTTGTGGCCACCCCCTTTCCGTCCATCCAATGCTGGGAGGTGTGTATTCTATATTGCTTCATGAATTATGTAATTTACAGAGAGTATTGTTGGTGTAAAACAAAACTCACTTTAATAGCAATAGAATTTAATTCTACTATTCACTTAATCCAAATAGTACTAACATAAAACAAGAGTGTGTAGCTATGGCCTCCAGCTGTACATAACAGCTCATAATATTTGACAGCCACTGTCTAACATTCAGTGAAACTATAGTCATGCAGCAGCTGGGGCCAAGGCTGGTCAATTTTGGATTAAAAATAAAAATACTTGCATACTTTTTTTTCCCAATATTCTAAAGAGAATTGCAATAGCAGAGTAATGTTTGTCTTTCATTGTATATTCAGTGGGCCATTTGGCCATGTCAGGCGGATTTAGCAGAAATCCCTCATTAACAAGGGGTGTGCACTTTGGCAGGTGGTCGGTGGACTAAACACGGAGGGGTCCTTTATACCCAGCTGTATGTCAAAGAAGCGTGTAGAGGTTGTCATGTTCCCATTCTTTGTGTAGGTTTCTTGTACTGGGTAGCAATCCTTGTCAGTGTAAACCCCAACCCATGTCTCATCTGTAACACAGAAACAAAACAGGAATTATCATGGATGGCTGCAAAGAGTAAGGTTAACATGAACACACTATAATTAGTAATGGCTTATATATAGAGTTATTTATGGAGATTTTTAGAATATTACCCTGCATTTTGCAATTCTTAGGCAAAAATACCCAAGCTGGACAAATTGCTAGAGCTGGAGAATTGTTTGATTCTTTTGTCTTAAAAATTGCAATTTCTTTGACAATCTCACAGTTTTGTGAATATACAGAAAAACAATATAGTATGTAAAGGTATTATCACCGTTTCTTTTATATCCCAAAATCTGTTTGACTTTTTGGTATAAAATGAATATTCATTGTATGGTATACTATAAAGCAGGGATAGGCAACCTTCGGCACCCCAGATGTTTTGGACTACATCCCCCATAATGCTCTTACATCCATAATGTTGGCAAAGCATCTGAAGTGCCGAAGGTTGCCTATGCCTGCTATAGTAATGACCTATGCAGCCAA